CCCCCTAGACAAGTATGTATCCATTGATCGATTGATCGACGCTCCTTACCAGGATGAGTTTCCATCTCACTGTGTATAGTAACTAGGTACTTTTGAGAATGAGTGACTGCAACTGTATCCATTGCGCCACTTTCCAGATCTACTTCTATTGACAGAATTTACTCATAGGAAAATTTACGTTTTCAGCATGAAATGATTCACGCTTTCCTATTTGTAACGCAAAGAAATCGTGATAGAGATGGCCACGGACCAGAATTCCAGTACCATATGTACAGGTTGGACACGTTCCCTTCATTATTTTCTCCTTTTCTCTTTATTCTTCCTCGATTATATTCGATTTCATATTTTTTGTTGTATCACAAGTTTTATAATAGACATTGAACTATACGAGTACTGTTTTCAAAACTTTTTTTATAGAATCAATCAGATGGCAAATACGAATATTACCATTTATCATTCTTTCCATGACGAAGTGAATGTTTACAAGCAGCATATTTGGAGGTAGCTGTTTTCATATCGTCGTTCTCCTCTTCGTTTTAATGTGCTAATCAAAATTTGTGTCTGTTTTTTATTCGGCGTAAATCAAGTATATCAGATGCGATGGCCCCTGTCGTGAAAGGCGGCCTTTCTTTGGCTACGTTAAACGGTCTTCTAATCGTGCTCCTGGACCCAACGACTTGTGGTGGAATTCACACAAGGCCAGTTGTAATGGTCAGTCCGTTAATGTTTTCTTTTGTCCTCCGAGTTTTCCTTTGATGAGTTGTATTCAAGGTACGTTCCAAAAAATCAAAGAACCTGAAGGTTATGGTCAACGAAAGAGGAAGAAACCAGACGAGGTTACACTTATTTCTCACATCGTCACCTTGTTTTCTATGTAATACACAGCCCTGAATTCGGAAAAAAGCTTTTGCAGAAGGAAATAGTAGAGAAAAAGCCAAACAACTCACTGGATCGATATTTTGCCAATGTGGGAAAGGGGCAAACATGTGGGACGCTGAATCGAGTGGAAGGCGCAGCTTCCACTTCAACTCAACCAAGTTCCTCATTAGTTTCTCCGAACGGCAAGAAGAGCAAGGGCGGCACAGGTACATACCTCAGTTTTTGTGAAGAAGTTTCTTTGTCACGCACTTTCTATCTATCCACATTCAATAACCAGCACTTTCCGAGTTTTTTTAGAATCTTTTCACAAAAATCTGAGATATTCTGAGGTAATCTGAGATGGAGGTATTTCAGGCAAGACAGCGAAACCGATCACACCTTCTAAAAAGAGCGGTGTTTTGAGTCAAACTTCACCGACACTAGACATCTATATTACGGTAGGAAATGGAAACCTGAAGAAGAAGCCTGGCGCCTTACCATCCTCGGGTATAGGGAGCGCTGACTGTCCTATTATAATTGAGAGTGATTCACCTCCCTCAACCTCATCGACTTCATTCTCGTCTAGTGAAGGCCCTCCAAATGAGATTGCTTTGAGTCGTAATGTTATATGCCCTTCTTGTGGCGAAGACGTTATTGAGTACTTTATTAATGATCACTTGGATTCCTGTGTATATTTACAGTAAGTAGCTTTACTGACCCAATCTTTCTAATATTTGGTCTCCGGTTTCTGTATTATATCCAGGCTATGAGCCTATTCGGGTCGATGTTTGGGTATCTTGTGCTATAAACGCATGTTGCTGGTGCCTTAGAGTGTAGGGCATCATTCTCTAAGGGCTTTAGGTTCTTCAAACTGCATGAGTTTTTGACTTGCATTGCCAGCAGTAAGTTCTGCAATGTTACACTTCTAGAATAACTTTGTAAATCAATAGATTTCTAGTTTTATTTGTCATGCAACAATTATTATTATTATTAATCTGTATACAACCGACATAAAGCTCATCCTATCGAAGAAGAGGTCGCTTATAAACGAAGCAAATGACGTTGTCTTTTTGTGCTTCGCAATGTTCCGTCGTTGATACCAGGTACGTGAATCCTGGAGGAGTAAGTATCATTGAAACCAACTTTGAAAATGATTTTTTCTGGTGCTGCGGGATTTTTATATCTGTCACTTATGAAGGAGCAACGAGCTCGTGAGGATTCATCGGAAATGAGTTGGAGATCAGCTAAGGGTTCGGTATTTCACGGTGATGGTGTGCTCTCTGAATTCACACCGGTAAGAAACGGATAAGACCGCAAAAGGGGACCGCCGAATCAGTTAATGAGATAGGGGGAATGGAGTTCAAATTCTACGAAGGTTCTATTGATGGTTGTTGGCAGAATTTGATTGCGGCGCTTTGTGAGCTTTCCCCTGAACCCCTGTCATTTCCTGGTTATCTCTCGCTCTTACTATGAGGAACATCACGTACCTGTGCCTGAGCAGATGACATCCACAGTAGATTCTGGGAATGTTTTTTGTGCAGCGTCATGAATTGCTCGTTTTGATGCCAAAGCATCGTCTCTAGCAATGTTCTGAAAAACAGCCGTATTAGTTTTTCTTCACAACTTTCTGGGAATGCTCGTAAAGAGAGTGGGAAGGGAAGTGTGTAGCATCTCAGATAATGAGTACTCCTTAATAGAAAAATGAATACTTACTTGTAGGATGAGGTTTCGTAGAGGTTTACTGTTGCATTTGGCGTCCGTCAATGACAGGCCCGACTCTGAATGTTTCAAGATTACTTCATCACTTCAGTAAAGCCCAAGAGTAATTCTGCCTCATCAGGAGTGAAGAAAAGCGAAGCGGCGAAGGAATACTGGACATTCAGTTGATTGACTTCTATACAATCAGACAAGCTTTTTTCTATAGACATAAGAAAGCGCTAAGGCATGGGGCTCTCACCGTGCAGGTAAAATCTATAAATCTCAGTGAAACACATTCGATTTTTGGATTAAGATTTTTGACACCTCCACCATTTAGTAAGTTGGCCCAAGCATGGTAGTCGCCTCAATCAGAGAAAGGTGATCAATAGATCCTCCTCGGTAGAACAGAAAAGGTAAACCCTACTGGATCTTGGGCTAGCTCTCAACTGTCGCAATGTGGGCCTCATACGATTTATANATAGTTCTCCTATTCTACGTAAAAGACGAATGTACGGTGCGTCCTGAAGCGAATGATCAACATCGACCAACAACTGCGAGTCGATGTTGATCAATCGCTTCAGGGCGTGGTTAATCAGTTCGTCTTCTTTCTGTTCTGGCTTGTAACTATTTTGAAAGAGTAGGACCGTGGAAACATGAGCTGAAAAGGAAGCATGTTTGGTGGACCATATCTGGCCGAGCTACAAAACCGTAGTCCCTTGGTAGTTCGACTATCTGCAAAGCAGTTCCCAACTATGTCTTAGAGCTTCCACAGTGGCCAAATCTGGTTGCCGCATTCAAAGGGTACGAATCACCGATTTACTGGTAGTAAGGGTTACTTCATTTTCCATTAATTTCACTCACGATCATCTTCTCCTTCGATGGCCTTTTCGATATCATCGCCAAGTTCCAATGCGTCCAAGGGTGATGCAGTTGCTTCGACTGGGTGAGGATGTTCTACCTGGAAAATAGTAAATCTTATTTTCTGACAAAAAAGTAGGACGATCATTTTCTTTCCAAGAACTCACCTCTTCTACCTCTTCTAAGATATCTTGCAGAGCACCTGCGTCACCTTTCTTCGACTTTAGCATAACATACTTGATTTTCACGGGTGGCTGGTCACACTGGACCTGTAAAAGATTTATTAACTGATCACATACCTTTCAAATCGAAACGTAATCATGAACTAGGAGTTGGGCAGACGTTCACAACGATTTTGAGGGATGGAATTGATCAACTTCTTTCACTGTACTGCTCTTTACTTTATTTTGTTCAGGAGGCTGTTGTGAATTCTGAAAATTCTCAAGCAGCCAGACGGAAAGCTGGAGCCACATCAGCATTTAACGTTGTCCCTGACCGTCTGTTTCACCTATTTGTCTCACTCGATGAAGGCAATGCGATAAAACTCACATCAGACCGTTGTTTACCCAGAGCCGCCGCAACTTTGGAAGAGGCTTGAGGTGCATATTCTTCTTTTGGTGTTATATCACCTGAAGGTATAACTGTAGCTATTTGCAAAATCATAATGATTAGTCCAGTAGGCGTAACGGAGGTCCTTACCAACGCTATTGAGATCTGTCTCGGCACGAGATGGAGCTGGTGGAACGTATGGCTCAGGAGTGTAACCGCCACCACCTCCACCACCAACAACGCCGGCTGAGTATGGAGCGGCCCCACCACCGGCAGGGTATGGAGCTGCTCCACCACCAGCAGGGTATGGAGCTGCTCCGCCACCAGCCGGGTATGAAGCTGCTCCACCACCGATTGGAGCATATGAAGGATATCCATATCCTCCACCTCCACCACCGGCTGGATAGGCGCCACCACCTGAACATTAGAAGATTAGCGTTGGTTGAAATTCACTGGAAACCAGTTCTGTCGAGCACAACTATGATCTTTCGAGTACTCACCACCTCCGTAGTATGTGGGTGAGGCATAACTACTGCCGTAGCTGTAGCCACCACCGCCTCCGGTCGCATAACCTCCTCCGCCTCCTCCTCCTGGAATAATTCAATTAGTTGGCCATCCTTTTCGATTCGATTTGCAACTCCTTCGGAATACAACTTCGCCTAAAATATCTCTAATGCCGAAGTTTTTGGATAATCGAGCATTGTATGCGTGCTATCTACATTTGGCATGAAGCGATTGGCCCCAAGCAAGATGAAGATGCAAATTTTATGAAATGATCTCCAAAACAGTCTGACTGAAGCTCATGTAGCAGTTGAAGTGATCCAATTTGTAGCCTCAGCAGTTTCTAGAAGACCCACTTTGCTCTAATTTTTTCAAATATTTACCAAGAAGATGTGCTTCGTAGTCGATAACTGGGTGTTTAGGAGAATGTAAATATGGAAAAACAGAGTGCAATCGAAGGAGGGTCATCAAACACGGGGGGGGGGGGGGGGNGGGGGGGGAATCTGGGGTTTTGGAGCCGGAAAACCGGAACGAAGTTCGCCCACCACACCCGCTACGTGTGGGAGCGCGTAGTGTAATGGTCCAGTGGATGCTTACGGTATCTGCTACAAAACCACTACCGCGTGCTTCCCTGTGACCCTGGGGATACTGGTACAAAGTCCGCCACCCTCAAACACGCAGCATAAACCCCTTAGCGGTATGTAAATAGTCAGTTCAAAGAATTATGTTCAACTTGCAAATCGAAGTTTTGTGTTTTTCATGAAGGAAGTGAACAACTTGCAAATGGCAAATGCAAATGGCTGGCAAATGCATTCCTGTGGATGATTTGGAACAACTTCAAAGTGTTCAAGCTGAATCATAAGTTTGTTCAAAAAGTCGGTGATCCCAGTGAAAACGAATGATAACGACTCGTCGGGCAAAGAAGGGGCGCAGGAGTAAGCAGGCGAAACTAGGATGCGAACTATCGCTGATCTTCCGCTAAAGCAGGAGGTGAAGCTTCTTCAATTTGTCTTATTTTGACTTCAATCAAACTTTGATTCTAGAAAATTCAGTCAATGACAGCGGGCCTTAAACTGCTGGGAAATCAGTCAAATTTGCAAGTGGCCGTACCACACGCTTCGGACAAAACTTTAGAAAAGAGCGGATTTCAAGTTGCTCACTGATGGTGTCACTATTGTAGCTGGTTTGCCTTGACTACCTAGGACTTGCATGAGCACCATCCCACTTCATCACATGACAATCCCCGCATGGTCTGCCGTCTACTCGGAAGCAGTAGTAGATGGGACAAAAGGATAAACGACTCACCGCAACTACTTCCACGGCATCCGCCGCCGCCGCCTCCGCCACATCCACTACCAGTACAAGACGATCCACCACCTCCACCACATCCACTTCCAGTACAGGACGATCCACCTCCTCCACCGCATCCACTGCCAGTGCAAGCTGGCACTGCGCTGGCACAGCCACTTCCCGTGCAAGCTGGTGCTGCATTACCGCAACCACTTCCACTGCAGGGCGCTGCCGCTGGCGCAGCGCCACCGCATGAACTTCCTTGACAACTTTGTATATAGACTGGTTGGACTTGAGGACAGTATGCTGTCGGTGGAGGAGGGCATACTTGTTGAACACATGCTGGACATGGAGCTGGTGGTGGGCACTAAAAATAATTGACTTTTCAGGAAACTCAGATGGCGGGGCGCGTACTGAACATCACCTCTAACATCATATTAAGCATGAACATGTACTGATACCTTGCAGTATGTGAAAAAATTTTTTCTGAGAAGGTTATCAATACTCGGGTTATGTCACTGGTGTAGAAAGCCTCAATTGAACTTGGAAAAAATACTTTGTCATACCTGAACTTGACAGCCACAACTTGCTGGTTGCGGTGTTCCACAGCTGCAACAGCAACCTTGTCCTCCACCTCCACCACCACCACCGAAGAAGATCGCTTGAATGGAGGCCAAAAGGGCCAAAATCAGGATGAGGAGCATTACCTGAAAGATGCATTCATACATCAAATGCCTCTGTAGAACCTAAATATTCACAAAAAATTCAAAAACCGTCACAATGCTAACGAAAACCGAGACAGACAAGTTTCGAAAGGCAGTTACGATTTACTGGACGAGATAATTGGCAGTTTTCCGAAAAGAAGCAGTGAACTCCTCCTATTCCCCTTCTTCTAATGGGTTTGATGACAACAGTTCTGGGCTTGGGAAGTTCTAGCGATCAAACAAAGCCAGATCTTAGAAGTACTGGAATAAAAGCTCAACCCCAGTCCCAATCCTCTCTTCGCATTTGTCAGCTGTACCCACCTTAGCCGACAGTACTCACTAGCGAGTAAGTTCGAGCGATGAATAGGAATGCAATGATGGAATAGAGGAGGAACTAAAGGCTTACAATGGGAAAAGAGGGAAGAGACAGTAACGAGCGAATGGGAGCAAAGATTCTCAGATTTTGTCAACTTTCCCCCAATTAGGGTCACTTCCGTAAATGAAAGCGAGTTGCTTTATCTACGTTAGTGCTGATCCAGGAAGGAAATTGCCCCAAATGGGCGAAACTACGTCAAATACTTTCAATACGTAACAGAATTACTTCTAAAAAAGACATAGCAGAGCGGGGCCGGTACCACTTTACTCCTTCTGTTTCAGTAAATCTCTTTTTTGTCTCTAGAAGTGACTGAGAAAAACATCAGTAGTACGGATATAGAAAAAGGACATAAATGGACCGCTCGTGCCCACTAGCCAAAATCTGCTCTCGACCAAGTTTATAAGTAATAGCGCAATGTACCTGACCCACTTATCATACTCGTTTCGGAACGATCAGGTAGGTGTTTGAGTTGATTCCGGTATCGCGATCTCCAGTTCACTAATTACTTGTGATTGCAGTCGGATCCCTTGAATCTACAGAGAAAGTTCCATATCCTGTTGGATTGGAATGATTGTTATTCCTTTCTGTTCTCGACTCGACAGTGGTGGTTTATAGTCCTGTTACGGCTTGCACAAACTTATGTCGCTCCTGCCAACCGTATCGTGAGCCTGGCTAAAAAATTGACTATCCATCGTAGAACATTGTAGGGGCAAAGTACCTATGGGAATTCCAAAATGACTCGGAAAGGTGGTCCAGTAAACTGTTGGGAGAAGATTTGAGTTTGAGCTTTCAAATTTGTGCCACATTATCATGACTTACCTCTTTACATCTGTACAATTTGCTTTCTGGCGTTGATCAGTTACATCTGACGGGTGCGCCCTGCATTCGACTTCCATTCAGAATCGTAGTGGATTATTGAATGCGCATATGGCCCATACAATGACTCGTGGTGACCAACCGATGTAAAACTCATGAATTCCATCCTCCCAGGCGTGTCTGAAACTAATTAGTCGTCTCTGGAGGAATGAAAGCCATAGTTGGTTCAGGCGTGCATCGAGCCGGGGTTCCATCTCCCGACCATGCTTGTGTGTGTGAAACACAGTTGTCACTGCACTACCCCGCCCTTATATGTGCAATAAAATTCATTAAGATAAGAAACCCATTCTAAAAAGTGAATACCTACTATTGCAGTTCCAGAAAAAAGTATGAATAATAACATTAACTTTCCAGGGGCAATGATTTCCGAGTCCTGATTAAAAATAATTNGACCATGCTTGTGTGTGTGAAACACAGTTGTCACTGCACTACCCCGCCCTTATATGTGCAATGAAATTCATTATGATAAGAAACCCGTTCTGAAAAATGAGTACCTACTATCGCAGCTCCAGAAAAAAGTATGAATAATAACATTAACTTTCCAGGGGCAATGATTTCCGAGTCCTGATTAAAAATAATTTAATGCAACATTACAGACATTTCACGAAGTTACCTGTCGAAGTCCTGAGAAAAGGGGACCTTGAGGGAAAAAGGGTTCTCAGCGACCTGGAAAAGCTCATAAAACCAGGATTGGTTGATTTTTGGGGTGGCGTTGCTATTAAGAAGCACTAGCAGGGTGAGGAGGTTTAGTGTAACACCTCCCCCACATTGGGTAATGGAACTTCTTCCCGAATTTCCACGGCCTGCGGCGTGGAGAGTGGTTCCGCGGCAACTCTCCGTATCTTTCCATTGGGAATTCAAATCTTTCCCTTCATAGCGCGCGATCGCGTGCGGCGAGCGCGACACGCCGTTCAGGGAGAAGATCCCAGACCCCCGCACATTCATACAAAGAATCATAATCTTGATATCCTATCTAGGTAAATGTGCGTAGATGGTGCCATGGTTGAAATCGATTGTCACATCGACCTTGGTGGTAATCATCTTTAATCCACCTTTATTCTGGTTTACTTCGTACCTGCATACCTACTTGCCTGTCCTATCACCGTGCAAAATACTGTTGCGGTGAACTAGGAAAGTGATGATAACCATCTGTCGATGTAGCGTGCATTCCCTTTTTTTAAAAAACTTTTTTCATGAGCTTTTACAATTGGTTTCAGGTCTTTTTTTAACTGTGAAAAAATATTACAAAGTAGTCGATTATGATACAGCATGCACCCCGTACGTACTGTTCCAAGAGCTGGGCAGTAGAGGGACTAATCAGCTGATTCGAAGATTCTAAGTCTCTTCGATGAGTCTGCACGAAAGGTAAGAGGCCAAATGAGAGCAAAACTAGAAAGCTATCATCATTTATTATTTTCTTCAATTCATAGCATAAATTTGGATGGCTATCTGTACACCGATGATCGCACAACAAAAGCACATAATTATCACATAAAGAACCACAACATCCTATAAAAATTTAAGTAAATCTTCATTTTACAACCCGCTGATTATAGGAAAGCTTAGGCGTGTAACTGCTCAATCAATAGCAGATGAAATACAATCAATGAGATCGATAGAGAAGCAGTGTTGACTGCTGAGCAATTAGTATGTAGTTTTGAAGTAGAAGTCATAAGATTCCACACACACGAAGTTACGATATGCTTCATGCAAAATCTTGGGCATTCAGGGCATGAAATCCACATGATTCCGTCGTCATGGCGCATCCTTTTGACTGCCATTGATATTTTTAATATCACAGGATTGATACCTTTGGGAGGGATACACCTATACACCTGAGAGAGTGGGTCAGGACAGTTCTGATGGATGATTCGAAGACGGCCGGTTTGTCCTGTATAGCAGAATGTCGAATAGTCGGATCTCATCCGGAGTCAAGTGATGAAAACTGATAAAATCGCTGGCAAACGCTTCGTAACCCTGGAAAAAAGATCCAGTAAATAAAAAATTAATGCTAAAGAAGTAAATTTGAAAGTAAGGGCCACCTACGCGTAGAAATCAAGTTTTTTCCTATCAAAACCCAGATTCCGATGAAAATGTTTGAGGTACTGAATAGAGCCCTCCATCCCGTGTGATTCCTCTCTAATTTTTGATATACCCGGGCAAATGGGACAAATCAGAAAAAAATTCGTATTTGAACTACCCAAAAGCTTCCTGCAGGCGAGTCTCAGACGTTCTGATAAGCTGGAAAAAGACCTGTGTACTCAAGGAGCATATGAAATCAGACGAGGATGACCCTCAGAAAGGTGACGTCAAGCAGATGAGGGAAGAAAATTTTGGTACCAAGAGAACTCGGCAGTACCTTTTTCGCTTTGAAATAGGTCCATGTTGGGCTGTTTTGCGTGGAGTGGAAGACGTCGCTGGGCGTGTGAGTGTTGAAGCGATTCTGTCCACGATTGTTTCGAGTGTCGTGTGGGAAGATCCCGACACTTGCCAAACACCTTCAAAACGAAAACACTTGTGACTATCAGCGATTTCCATTGATTACAAATAAAACAGATTCGCTGGGTACGCCCAACAACAAGTTTGAGCCTTGAGAGCTCTTCAAGTAAAAGAGACAAGAATAGCTGGCAAACGATCAGAACATTTTCAGAAGGATGTAAGCCTTTCAGAAGGGCAAGCGGGTCTCAGTAGTTGTGAGGGATAGAGCACGGTGCCAGGAAAGCGCGACTACGGGTTCGATCCCCGTCCGAAACCGAAGTTTCGTTCATAAGTCGCCAACCCACTAAAATTTAGAAGGAAAAATCAAGGGCTATAAAGGGTCTGGTTATTTACCAACAAATAATCTCGTACAACAACCACTGCTACATGCTCACCTGCCAATTCCAACGTCTTCATAGATGTCGTCCGGGCACAAAGTCTCATTGTGATAAAGCATCTCATTAAAAATTTTCACTGCGGCTCTAGACAGAACGTAACCAGCTCCACCGGCGTTATATCCGTTTTCCTGAAATAGGCAGTATTATGAAAATAGGCGGGGCTTAGGTGAAGTGCGCTGACGCGCTCTAATCTCGAAATATGAGGCCTCACTAATTGTGTAGCTACCTCTTCAGATAATTGAGGCTCCTTTTGCTTTTCAAGGGCTTTTGCGGCAGAAATTATTAAAAAATGAAGTTAACAATAATTCAAGAAGAAAGTCCTACCAGGTAAGGTCTCAAAGTATAGCCAAGGTAGTATGGCTTGTTCGGATCGAGTTGGGATAGGTATTCCTTGAGATGTTCAACAACTACGTAAGTATCGTCATCAGCCTGAAAAGAGCAACGGGTAAGGCTTCTAGAATAGTCTTTGTAAAACTTCCGCAAAAAACTTATGTTCATTGTAGGTACTGACTTACCTTCATATACCAGTCGAAGTCTTTTGAGATGTGGTGGTAGATGTAGTAAAACGCGTAACGACTTTTGAAAAACAGGTTATAGTAAGAATCGGGGATGCCAGCGAAAACAGTTGAATAAGGAATGTCATCGGATGAAAAGAAGTCTCCAGTAAACAATTGTCCATGATCACATCGTGATAACCACGTTTCATTTATGGCCAGAGCCTAAAGAAATTACAACTTGCAACGATATCATCACCGCGCCAGAAAAATTCCAAATGGGCGGAGCTCCCCACAAGAAAGATTTCCCGCCTTTATTGCACTGTCTCATTCCCAACAATGAAAAAAGGTAAGAAATCTGCATACTCTGGTATTGTGATAAATCGCCGCCGTTTGTACCCAACAGAACAGTTGACCGCTTCGTGGAAGACGTCGTGCTGCCGGCGAAGTATAAACGAACTGCAGAAGGAGCGGGTCACTTTCTCTGAAAAACCGGTTTCATTCGCATCTCGTTGGGTCACCAAAAGGAATGGTATAGAAAGTACCTGTCATAGTAGGTGACGGGTTGGTTCCATATCAAGATTTTCAGGAGAAACCCCAAAATCCCAACCGATACCAATGCGCCACCAACCTGCCGTCTTGTTACTATTGATGGCTTCGTCTCGGCCTGAAGATATGAATTTAAAGGGGTGACGGAAACAGAATTTCAGGTCCTCCCATAAGTTGCGTAGAAGATGGGTTGGACTAAAGATTGTGGCTAAGTTCGGGCTAAGCTTTTGCTTCATAGCGCACATAGGTAGGAGAATGTCGCAACCACTCAAACTGTGAGGCAAGAGGGGTGGAGTTTGTGGGACAGGCGGGGTTTGGGAAGGTGTTGTATCTCCACAACTTGATCTAGGGTGCTTTCAAATGCATGGTGAAAATCATACTTGTAAAAAAAACACTTCGGATGCTTGATTACTCAAATCCTATTGCTAGAACTACTTCGCAGCTCCCCAACCCCTAAATGACCCAGAGGAACGATATGAGAGCCTTACCTTGGAAAGAAAATACTGTTCGTATTTAGTCTCCGAAGTCGTCGGCAGCGATGATATCGATCCCAACAGCGGGGGCATTCCTACAAAGGAAGTTTTTATATGTGAAAGTTAAAGCTGGGAAAAGAAACAGAGACGACGAAATTGTACGGTACAGGAATATGTAGAAGACGTGAATAAGATTCCCAGGGAAAATGACTATTCAAATGCGCGTTGGCTATGTTGAACGAAGTGAATAAGAACAGCAAAATTCTGATGGAATCAAAATATTCTACAAGAGTCCCGACAAAACATCGTATTCTCAAGTATGACACAAACTTTTCCTTCCCTTATCGTGTTGCTTTCTTCTCCTTTCACTCCCATTTATAGGACCTCGTATACCAGCTAATTTCAGGCGAAAAAACCAGATGGTATAGTACTGTATGGTTCAGAATGCCCGGCAAACATATGACCGCGTTCGGATCCAGACTGAGGCGAACTCATCCCCCTACAGCTCAGCGCTATTGGTGGAGAAGAGCTCAGATCTCGATGAATTGTGACAAGTTTGATGGAACCCTCTTGAACCCCTCGTCCTCCCATGCAATTCCAGAAAAAGAACGTTAGTTCGAAGTAAAGAAAGTGTGAACAGAAAAGTTTCGTTACAAAATGAAAGGCCGCTGATCCAGGGGATCTTCAGGATTTATCCGTACGAGCAGTAGAGTAGTGACAAGTAATTCGTTTACGATTCCGGACTGGTACCGTACTTCTGTTGAAGGGTCAAAGGTCCAACCAGTCTTGGGCCCTGAAGCTCGTCCGTAGTAGCGTCAAAAATCCCTTTGCCTGCATGAATAGAGTTCTAGGGGAATTGTATGGTAAAGATTCGTCAGTAAAAGGTCATTCAAAACAATTCAATCGTCAAAAATTCAAATTTGAAGGCATAATCTATCCAATGAATACCAAAAAGCAAAAAAATCGTCAATAACACCCAGAACAACAACAGCATCCTTTTGTAGACGGTCTAGCATTGTCCGGAGTTGTGATGAAAAAAATGGACAAGTTCCCAGTTGTTGACGCCATAACAAAATCGATGGTGCACCCGCTGTACCCGATTTTTATGGTCCAAGTACCGTTCCCATGGAATTGTGATTAATCACCGGCCTGCATGCGCAGCCATGTGGTGTTCAGGAGCGTTGAACGAAGAAAAAATGGCCAGTAAAATAGACAGATGGTAGATAATGATAGATAAAATAGCGAAGTAGGTCTCAAGGGTTCTCAAGCCCAGGTTTTACCTTACCTTTCACCTATCCTACCTGGCAACTCGGCTAGAACCCAGCCAAGCCAAAAAAACCATCCACTTTAAACGGTTTAGTGGATCCATTGAAGCGTTAGAGAGCATGAAAGTGCTGATTTGTAAAGCCCAGGAGATATTTGAAAACGCCTCAGACGACTTAATCCCACTGTGTTTTCCATCCAACCCTGTCGCCTCGCAATGAATAGGTGATCTTCCAAAGCAATCTTGAGCTGGGTTCAATATAGACTTTATGACTGGCATTTACAATTTAGTGCATATACCAGGGTCCCATGCAGATCCAAGGCTCCTCCAACTATCTTGAATGAGTTGATCGGACAATTCCGAGCGGCTCATTGACCCGAAAACGTCGACCGCCTTAAACTACTGCGACGAGTGCACAGGTTGCCTCGGCACTTTCCAGCAAAACGCAAATGTATGGAGTATCCTGAAGAAAAAGTCGATCTCGACCGCTCACCCTTCCTTCAAGATCCCTTTATTAATGTCGAAACTCCGTATACTTTCATAGTGTTACCAATATACTAATGCATCTTAAAGATAGAGATAAGGTTCAGAGCGGTCGCTATCAAGGAGAGAAAAAACTCGAGTGAGGAGAGGAACAAGTCTTTGAGACGAAAGAATCAAAAAGCGAACGAAGGAATCAAAAGTAACGACGAAGTAAGAATGTGATTTATAGTGGTGTCTTGGCCGGCCGCCTTTCGTTCCCACGGCAACTAACGCAAAAACATAAGCGAACCAACAAACAACTAGAAGAACTGTAATTAATGCTGGATTGGTATGATGGAAACATGCAGGTAATTCATTCTAAGACATTAATGAAGAGGAGAGTTCAATAGAAAGTTTAGAGCAGCAGATTTTCTGCTATTCAAAAAACTGCGAAGGCTCCGTATGTGACTTGGTGTCATCTATGATACCGACAAACTGTCTGGTTCGGTTCAAAGTTGTAAGGGATTCATTTTGGATGGTGAAACCAAATCGCTTACACTAGCTTTTAGATTTACGAATGACTTCAAGGTTTCTGATTATATTTCAAGCTCATAAAGCCTTTTACATGAGACTGAACCAGTAGAACCGAGGACTTTATTCTTCAAGAACTGACATTTTTTCTGCATTTTTTTTTTGAAAAAAAAAAGTTTTTTTGAATTTCTAAGCTCAGAAATGGATTGTATTCGAGACGAAAACTAACACTTTCGACATCTGTTTTTCATTAAAGTGAAAAAGTTGTTGAAGCAGTTTAGGACATCTGCCAGGAGAATGGAGAAAGGTCATCGGCACAGAAATAGTTCGCAAAGCTGCGAACATGCGACTCTACCCTCGAAGTCATCGGTTCTACCCCGGATGACCTTCAGAATACAACTAGGAATTTAAAAAATTGTCTGATAGTCACAGTTCATTGGGAGACAAGGTTCTTAAGTCAAATCCCACGGGTTTGTTGACCATGCCTTCTACATAGATCTGCCTTCAAAGGTTTCGAGC